GTCGCTGACAAAGATGCTGAACAGCCCTGGAACCAGAGCAGAGCTCTGAGGAACACCGCTTGTCACTGGTCTCCACGTGGACATCGAGCCATTGGCCACAACTCTCAGTGCAACCCTCTAGCCAGTTCCTTATCCACCGAGTGGTCCATCCGTCAAGCCCCCATCTCTCCATCTTAGAGACAAGGATGTCACGTGGGACAGCATCAAATGCCTCGGACAAGTCTAGGGAGACAGAGGGGCAAACAACAGGACAAACCTGCAAACAGCCAACAGGGAAAAGCTGCCCCACATTACCTGTGCACCTGCACCGCTTCTTCTCATTTCATCCAGGAACTGCATCTTTAAAATGATCCTGGGATCTTTACAAGGGGGAAATGGAAGCCCAGTAATGATGACTCCTCGTCCGTTTATGTCTGCAAAATCCAGGCCTTCGCTGGCCTGAAGAGAGAATGTTTTCCATTATCAATTGGATGCGAAGTGATGTTTCAGAGCAATTCAGCAGTTATTGCCCTTTTTTCTCTCCATTAAGTTAAATCCCCAGCCAAGTGTACTTTATGAATACATTACGAAGAGTTTCAATTTGATTTTTTGCTTTTACTACCAGGACTTTAAACTTTGCTTTTTCCTACAGGAGGTCCTGGCTCAGCCAACACCGCTAACATATCTGTCTTGTTCCTGGATAAGCAGAACAGCTCTACGCAGAAGATGTCTTAAGCTTCAGCCACTACTTCTGTTTTAAACCTTCCATGACCCGAACTTTTAACAAGATGTGAAAGGAGCACGAGGCTCTCTGACATTAAAAAAAAGGAACAGAGTCATTTCAAAGCAGTACCAGCGAGCTACCAGAAACCTGCTCAGGATTCACCAGACTACAGCGTCTCATCCACCAGCTTTGCTGCTCGCACGCTCTCAGGTGCTTTGTAACTCGTGCTCCCTGTGCATGCTCACGTCCCATGCCGGGCTGGCAAATCATTTTGTAAAACGAACACCAACCACAGAAAACCCGTGGGAACCTACTGTCAACGGAAAAGCTGAGCGACAACCCAGGAGGGTATCTGGAAGCAACGGCTGAGAAGAGAAGTAGTTTCAGAGCTTCTGACATATCTCTTTTGGTTCGTCTTCCCAGCTATTTCCGATTTGGCAGTCACACCATTAACCTTGTGGCTACAACAAGCTAAAGTCTGCCTTTCAGCTGCACGTGACTGCACCGTGTGGTCCCTCCGCAGCCTCTGTTCCTCTCAGGGTAACAGGCTGTTGTTGGAAGGAGAAGCATATCCAGCTGAAAGTCCCACCCAAAAAGAGCTACATCTTCTCTTTGCAGATCCAACAGCTGCTTTGGAGATGGAGACTGAAAGTTCAAAAGAAGTTTGAACCTTCTCTCTGTACACAGTAAAGAGCGGCCAAAAGGTAAGTAATTTATCATTTTGCAAACATTTCCACTGAACCACAGATCATCTTGCCAGCACTTGAAAATGCAAATGAAAGGCCATGAAACATGTCCAGAGGACCTGAAGTCACTGGATATTTTTTAAAAGCTAAGCAATACTTTTTGGTTTTCAGCAGTGTTGTTCTAACATGTTTGATTACAACTGTTTCTTTTAGTTCTCCTCCAGAACAGTTGTTCTCAACTAATGGGCTGATTTTTTGGTGAGCAGCCAACAGGAAACATAACAATGATGCTCATCCCCTTTAAAGAACTCAAAGATGCATCCCTTTAATAAAAATAAAATGGAAGGAGGCCTACGTAAACTTGACATAATTTTGAAAAGGCTTCAGGGCAGCCTACTCCTCCTAGGTTTTTTTCCACATACAATCAAGTAACTGTGCAACAGAAGCAGATTGAAATCCAGAATGATAGGGTTTTTTTCCCTCCCATCACCTATATAATCTGAGCTCACACAAAATAAGTTCTCAGTGACATTACCTTCCCCCGACACACTGCCAAAAAAGCGGCTCCGTTGGACTTGGGAGATGCAACTTTATCATAGTAGGCATCTATTACCTAAAAGATACAACTAGTTGAAGCCAGAGTAGAAATAGCATTATCCTTATGCATAAGTATGCATAAGTAGAAAGCTGTTCTAGCTAAATCTGACTTGTACATTAAGGTCTAAAATGCAATTAATTTAACTTAGTGTAATTTTCTTTACTAATTGCAAATGTGAGAAGCCACTTGCTTAGTAAAATTCTTGCATTACTGTGAGATCTTGGATACATCTGGGTAACCATAAAAGATTATTGTCAGTACTTTTGATGAGAAGGTAGAACATGGACTGTCCTTTGTTTCTGCAGATCCTTGAGTAAAACAGGCAAACCAGGGAAGCAATCTGCAGGTATCATTTACTCTTAAGAAGCAAACAGAGCAGCTGTAAATAAACAAGATGACACTGCACAACTCCTGAATTGCAACAAGCTGGTAGGAAGTGTCCAGCAGAACATTTAAAGATGCCGCTGGCTGAAGTGACAGTATCCACCCCCCATTACTCAGCACATATGTACATCAGCCACTGTTCCTCCACGGGATTTCTGGTGAAGGCTGCACCCTGCACAACTGACCAAAAGAGTAAAGGAACAGAACTATACTTCAAAGTAGCTCTCAAGGAGTTTTAACTTTATCCTAGGATAAAATCTGTGTGTTTCACACCCAAACACATCTTAGAGAAGGTACATGAATATAAAAAGAGTTTCTGAAAACATTGCAGAAACGTAACGTGAATACCTCTGAAAAGCTTCCTTTGTTCCTGGGTTCCACAAACATTGGCTTCGCTTCTTCTATTCTCTTAGCAAAATCACGCTCCTGTTCAACAGAGAATGAACGTATCAGAAACAGCCACGTGAAAAGTGAGCACAGGAGCAGAACTGCCCACAGGGAAGGAAACGCTCAGCAGCTGTCACCACAGACGTCCCCAGTACAGCCTGTTCCTCTCTCACCAAACAGAGGAAGAGACGGAAGCAGAAACACGCAATCCTAACAACACCCACAGCAACTCCTTGCGGTTCGTGCAACTTGGACATCGTGTGGATGGAGGATCCATTTCTTTCCAACTTGCACCAACAGCCACCTCCCAGAGACCGCTCCACAGCGCAACAGCCCCGGCGTTCCCTTCCAAGGAGAAGGAGCGTTTAAATCAGCCCTGTTTTACCAACCCGCGTCAGGAGCACTCAAGTCCCAAGCACCGCAGCCAACAAAAGGTACGGCTGCAACAGTTACAAATGGAAGAGAAATGCTCATATTGGGATTTCTCACCCCACCCTTAAGAATTGAAGCACTTGGCCCAACTCTAATTTGGATTTTTAGTAAAAAGAAGCCTGGTGAAATCAAATGAACTCTGAGATCAGATCAGATGAGATAATCTATTACTTTGGGTTTGGTTTCTACAATGCTGCATTTCAGTGTATCGTGATCAAAAGAGAAGAAGCCTGATGGAGGTTTTTAATTTTGCAAATTCCTTACTACCAAAGAATTTTTAATGAACACTGTTAGATAGCAAAACTACAAACCGTTCAACACGTGTAACTGAACCAGCCGAAGAGGCAGAGCCATTAACGTACCCTCCAATATTCCAGGCTCTTATCCATGACAGGATACGATGGGAAGAACACCAACAGTCCGTGCGGCACCACTCGCACAAGATTACCTGCAACAAGACAGGTGAGGGTGAGGCTCAAGGTATGTTCATCCTGAGATGGAGCACACAGACTGCAGAGGTTCCTTCCAAAATCTTGTCTACCTTCTCACATGAATGTTGTATTAGAAGTTGATTGTTTGGGGTTTTTACAATAACTTCAATAATCTTGTAGTCAAGGTATAAACTTACCAACTGTTTTCCCCAGAGAAGATAAATAATCTTCCGAAAATCTACAAAGAAGAAGAATCAAGAAACATCATTGTATTTTCTTTTCTGTTCTTCACACATATCAGCTTCCTCTGACATTCAGATAAAACAGCACATCCATAATCTCAGCTGCTCTCCTTTCCGCAGCAAGTACCCACACCAAGCACAAAAAATGAGTTATATCTTGACTACACTTTACTACTACACATACTACATGACTACACATACATATTACTATTAATATACTTAATATTAGCATTGAAGATCACCTAACCTTCAATATTATCAAAATGTAACAAGTAGAAATGGGCAGCCGTAGGAGTTCGATGATTAATACCAACAACTGAAGGGTGAAGTTTTGCCAGAAAAGCCTGAAGATGCTGCCAAGGCTGACTAACGTTACAGCTATTTAAAATAATAATTAATTAGGTGTGGTAAGGCTGCAGGGGCAAAAAGGATGAAATTGGTTACTATGGTTTTTATTTACTCATAGCATAAGCAAAGCAAATCACTTTTTCTTTGAATGAAAAGGTACTGATCTACGATGAGCAGCATGTCTCTTTCAGCCCTTCCTGAAAAGTCACTTGTTCTCTCATGCCTTTGTTTCTTTCTTTTTAATGCCCTGTGGTTTTGCATACTGTTTTCTCAGGAAACCTATATATATAGAAAAAAAAACCAACACAACAGAACATACTTATTTTAAGACCTATGAATACCCTAATACCACTCAGATGTTGTCAAAACACAGCAAGCACTGTGAATTTCCTTCCTTCAAAAGAAAAAAAAAAATACACTAGCCCTGAGGGGAGATCCCTGACCTTCCCCCTTCAAAGACAACAAAATACACTGAAACAGCACCCTAAGTTTCTAAACATCAAAAATACAGTCTGAGAGTTTTCCAGACTTTCTCTTCCCTATAAAAATCAATCACAAGGGCTGAACTCTTTCCAGTTGTGCAGAATGCCTGGCATTTTTCTTTTTTATTTTTCCCCCCTCAGTGAAACTCCTTTGAGCTCTGCGTTTTGTTTTTTAATTATTTTTCTGTACGGCTGAAAAAACATAAGTCTGGCCTACAGTAGGATAAATTATAGACAAACGTCTGGCTGAGAATTCAGCAATGTTGAAATTGAAATGAGATTTAAGGACATGCCCACACAAAAAAATATGAGCACTACAGGAAGAAAAAGTTAGGTGGAAGAACATGCGGATCGCACACAACGAACTGGCCCGCATTTCAAAACACTGCAGGAGGATTACATCCCTAACTAAAGCACTAGCACTGATGTGATGCCAACTCTTTAACAACTTCAGAGAGCTGGCAAGCCCAGAAACTTCTGCCATATGCACACTAAAGCACAAAAACACCTTTTAAAACCATAAGCAGAGATGTCAATGAGTATCACTGGATGTTTATTTCATTGTATCGTTACTCATTATATCCGTGAGTATCAACAAAAGTCGATATACAATGAAAACAAGCTTTGGTGTTCCTCACTTGCAGGAAATTCTGCTGGCAGCAGAAGCACTGTCTACTCCGGAGAGCAGAAAGACCCAGGCAAAATCATGAAAGATCAGAGGAAAGCAAGAAAAAAAAGTGATGATGAAAAGCTTGGCAAATATTTGGATGTTTTCCTTAGTAATGCAACGCAGATAAAAAAAGCGAGGCCAGTCACACGAACAGGCAAGTCCAAGGTGAAATCAGAAAGTCAGTGAGTAGGTCAGGGACACTACAGAGACACTTATTTCACAAGCTCTCCTGAGGGTAGAATCCAAGACTTCAAAGCAGAATTCCACGTGGGAGTTCATTACCTTTTCTCGTAGTTGGAAGTAAGCTCAGTTCCATCAGGGCCCTTTGGAAGGATCCCAACCCAGAGCTGGTGCTTATCGATAACGTGAGGATTCTCCAAGCAAACAGGAAAAGGGCTAAAGAAACACAAAAGTAAGATCCCAGTTATACTCACTGTATAATTCCCTACTGGATACCTGCCCAGAACACTCAAAAATACGGAGAGAAAACCTAAAGTCACAAGAACAGGGCATTGGAACCATTTGCACATTAACGTACTTACATCTGCATTTCCATTGTAAATGATGAGAGGGGGGAGAGAGTCCCACTAGTGAGGATAATTGTCCTTACTCCCTGTCGAACAAGCTCATGCATGCTGTATCCAGGGCTGAAACACCAATAGCTTAAGGTCTTTCCTGTAATAAACAAAGACAAGACACCAAGAAGCAAGTCTGTCAGTGGAAAAAACTAGAATATGATTAGTACCATGGCACACTGCGTCTCAGCTTCTGAAAGTTAAATCTCCAGGATCTGAAGCTAAAATTCCAGATGTATGGTAGGTTCTGCTTTGGTCCTTCCCTGATTTAATTACCATACCTGTCTGAAATATAGTCATTGCTCCCTCACACCTTAAGTAGATTATACTTTTAATCAGAAGAAGGTTATAGAAAAGACAGAGCATCAGAGCTTTTTGTTGGCAAGTAGTGGGCAGATCGAGCAGCTAAAAACTGCTCAGTCCTCCATCCACTGATTCATGTCCCGCTGCCACGGCCGACTGGAAGAGGAAGCAGGGCAGAAGAACAGCAGAATACTGGGATGAAGGACAAACGACTGAAGTTACTCAAAAATATTTAAAAAAAAAAGAAGAGAAAGACACTCCAAACACCAAAGACAAGTCCACCCCTTGGGCTCAAATCTCTTGTGGGATGGGGATATACAAACGTGCACGACGCTGAAAATCTGGGATAATAAATTAGCACCAGATAGAAAGAAAACCAGATAAAGCGCTCCAGTCAGGTCTTCCATTGCTCAGCTTATGGCTGTGCCACAGCTGGTCTTGTTGAAAACATAGCACCAGCTTTTCAGGGACAATCAGAGCAGCCGAATAAAGCATTAGCTTTTGTTTCTGTGTTTGATTCAGTTCAGCATCAGTTTCAGGTTAAAGAAAAAAAACCAGACAACTAGCATCCCCATCTTGTGTGTGTCTTTTAAACATACACACTTTGTTCAAAGACTCCATTTCCAAAAAGGAGCCGAGGGTTTCAGGAAATCCCCAGTAATACATGCCCAGTGAGTCACTTACTGCTTAGAAGTACATGAGAACATGTACTTTAAGCTAAAGTTTTATCTTTTCATCTCATTTGGGCAAATCCATGCCAACGATGTCAGGATTCTAGAAGAATTGCATCCCAAAATTTAGCAAATTCTGTATCTCTTTAATTCACCCTAAGAACCGGTGCAAATTACAGTTCGGCTCTGTGCATAGGGAGGCCAGCAAGTACCTACAGACAAGAGCAAAGTCGTTTATGTCAGGAGCTTAAGAAATTCCAGCAAAAGAGGCAAGCCTTGTCGATACAGGGTCGTCCAAAAGAGAGCACGAACCACTCACATTTGTCTCACCAATGCTGCGTTTGAGCTACACCTCCCCGAACCCCTGCAGGATCGCTGCGAGGCACTGGCTGCCCAGTTCTTGGAGGAGCTGGCACTGCAGTCCAGCTTCAGCCCACAATTACATCTTTAAGCTTAATGATATTAAACCTGTTTCAAAGGTCCCGTTCACCAGCAGGGAGGGTTGGATGTTACACAAAGTAGATCTCGGATTTTTCCATTGCTAATACAAGGATGGCTACTCTACACAGGAACAGTTTGTGGATAGTTTACAACACGACTTAGAGCAAACCAAGAGCATTTTACCTTAACATAAAGCTACAACAGCTCAATAGTGTGTTCCTGAGTGGCACCTCAGAACCAAAAGCCATCCCAAGCTCTGTCGCTTCTCATGTAATTGGTTTGTAGAGAACTATCCTCAAGCAAATAATTTCCACAAAATCCTTTTTCTTCAAAGGTTTGCATCGTTTCTGTGCGATCTGCCTATTTCATCCAGCTCATCAATTAATGAAAACTCAAACACCTCACGAATAATCTACATAATTTCTATACAATCTTCCATATCACTATGGGAAACTGGAGCCCTGATCAGTCTTGGCCTCTGCTAGGTCTGAACCTAGTGCAAGTCTCAACAAATTAATAATCTCTTGCATAGGTACTTGAAAATACTGTTGTAATTTGAAAAGCAAATATATTAGTACGTGTCTACTAAATCTTAAAAGAATTCTCCTTTGTATTGTTTCGGTGTATAAATCCTCCACATTATGCCATAAATCTAAAGTGTCTCCATTAGCCTTTTCCTGGATATATATTTAACAAGATCTCTTTAGAATTATTCCTGTAACTTCAAAATCCAATTGAGCAATATTTCAGGAAAATAATATTTGCAGATTACCAAAGAGCAGCCTTCTGCTCATAAACAGAACAGAATTCACTTTGTGGAAACACTTAAGGAGGCGTTATGTGCAAACTCATTGAACTCACGGAAATTCATTCTTTGAGGAATGTTACTTTTGTCCTTAAGAAAAGGACTTCTGTGAAACACATTCTCAAGAGCATTTACCTGGGTAATTAAGTAGATACGATGCAAGGCAGTCACCAAGATCCTTGGAGGTGGGAGGAGAGAGACAAGGAGAGGGAGAAATTTCGGTTCAACAAGGACTTGAAAAGTATAGTTGAGACTGAAACCATCAAGAAGTGACAACGCGCCCTGAAGAACATAGGGACTTGCTCAAAAAAAGGTTCTGTCTCAGAGAAGACAACGGTGCCCTGAGGCTGTTCAGCTGGCATGGGATTTTCTGGCTAAGAATCCTGGGGCATCACATGAGCCTTTACCAATCAATTCTAACTCCTCCACTCCATATGAGTAATTTCAAGAGAGATTAAGAACTTTCATGGAATTTAGGCTTATAATACTTTTGGCACACGTCTTCAGTGTCGTATCAATACATGAACCTCCTTCTTATAAAAGGCAATTACAGCCTTAGCAACACCAATTTTGTGCTAGAGACACCACAGTTATACAAAGAAATACAGCTGACGTGAGGAAAATAGAACATTTCATAAACCTCAATGGCAATCCTGCAGGAGGGTTTCCCACTCTTGGGCTGGTCTGAAGATTTTTTTTCTACACCAATACAAGCAACCATTCCACAATGGAGATTATTCCCAGCTCTACAAGGAACACTACACCATTTCGTTTTAAACACTGGGGTTTTTTGCCTACAGATAGATCTGGGAGCATGCCCTGGCTGAGTTTGTCTGTTCAGCCCTTTCCTCCTCAGAGTAGTTTTTAACATTCAAGGCAACACAGGTGGTGTTTCACTGAACAGTCCTACAGTGACATTCCAAAATTTGCCAGGACTCCCTGTTCACAAACGTCAAGTAATGCAGATGGGGATGTCTTCAATTGTTTTCTCTTATTTCAACCAGAAAGGAGCAGTTGAGCAGTTTTTCCAGTCCAGCTTTTGCATGAGCTCCCCTGCTAAAACCGGAGTCCTGTACCTTGTTTTTTCGTAGACGATGAATTCCAGAGATCTGTCCTTTGTTTCTTCTTCTGATTACCGTTATCCAGATGAATATGCACCTGAGGGAAAACCACCATCAACATTTCCTGGAAGAATTTACAGATCCTCCCTGTAACCAACATCATAATTTGCTACACTATCCATATCCTGCTGAGTCTTGGATACGCTAAGCACAGACATGAAATGTCAGCGGGGAAAAATGTAGAAGATAAAGCATCCCGTACCTTATAATATCTAGACACCAACTGACGCGGTACGAAAGCTGTTGTGCCTTCTGGAGGATCAATGTTGAACACTGTCTGGAAAATGGATGCAAACAAATGGGAAGATTTAACAACTTTTTCCAACAAAATCCCCACCATACCTCTGCGCTGAGAAGTATCTCCACAAAAGTTACTGCTGTGAACACCTTAAATATCTCTCCTTGCTCCTGGTAATTAAGTAGAGAACCTTGAATAAATAAATTTTTTACAGGCAATTCCTGCTAACCACACAGCATTGTTCTAAAAACACGCTACACATTCATGAGATCAGTCACCACTGAGTGTTAAAGAACCTTTTGATTCCCTTCGTTTAAAGTTTCAGCCATGATACCCCACAACTAATAATACCCCAAATCAAAAAAAAGCAACTTGTAATCATTATCTAGTTGTCCACATATTGAATTAAAAGCTTCTATCGACTCTTTGAGTCAGGCTTCTCTCTCTTTCCTGCATGCGATGTCTTCTGACTAAGGGAGATGTTGGTTCAAACATATGGCATTCCAATAAATCTTCAATGAAAACAGCTGTGGTTCTCAAATATTTGTAACTTCTGATAATTTTTCTAAACGAAATTTCTTTAGACATTTAAAAGGAGTTATCCAAGCTCATAAAAGTGTCAGCTAGTTGCAACAAGAAAGCTGATCTTCAGAGCCAGATGATTTAAACCCTCCCAGTTTAATAAAAATGGACACAAAATCCTATATAAACAGTCATAATCTTAGGAAGGGAAAAAGTGCGAATGTTATAAATCCAGCAGCAAAAAAGGAAAACTGAAGTACATAGTCAGTACTGCACCCAGACAGAACAGAATTTCATTACAATTCTTCTAAGAAGTGTTGTGGAAATAAGCAAGCGTATTGAGGAAGGTAAAAAAAAAAAAAAAAAAAAAAAGAAAAAAGAGTTTGTTGGCTGCCGCCAAAGGCAGAGCTGGACACAGAAGTAATTCACTTTTCAGATTAAATAAATTGTTGTGTTCTTCTCCTCATTTTTGCTCCTTCACAGATATTACTCTCCTCGTGACTCCATCTTCATTACTGTATCACCTTCTCCAACACTCTTCTCCTCCCTATAAATATAAGTTCCTTGTAAGCAGCACATTTTCCAGAAAAAGATCTACGTCATCGAGGATTTCTGAAGAAGCCTGGCACCTAATCTATTAGGCAGGTTACCAATGAGAGGAACAAAACCAGAGAACTACAAAGAGATTGAACGTTGCCAACCACAACTGACTTCAACATCATGGAATTTCTTGCATCAGCAGTTGAATTATAATTTTTAATTTTTAAAAAACCAACATTAATCAAAGACAGAAAAGTAATGATTACATACATTAAGTTGTCATCTGCATCATCACCCTCCAACTAAAGATGTGGAGGGCAAAAAAGATCTTAAATTATCTGTTGTTTGTTTTTTGACCCTTGGTCTGTTCTGTTATTTCATGAGAAGGTCTCCTATTCCCAGATGCTGCTGCCAGAAAGTAAACGGCTCAGTAACCCAGCTCCACCTGGTGGGGGCTAAAACCAGACAAATTTAAACTGAGCATCTCCAAAAGGGGACATCAAATCTGTAAAGGAACAACCTGGGCAAAAATTGAAGCAGACCACCCCATTAGGCAGCAGCTTTCTGGAAGAAGCATTAATTATTTACCTGGATAATATCCAAGAGCTTATGCAATCCGGATGTGTTCATGAATATCCTAGTATCTAGAGAGAACCAGGTATGATTATTTTACAACACAAATATACACCCATTCGTACATATCCACACCTGAACACAACACTGAACACAACTTGAAAACGTTATCTGAAAAAAACAGATTATCACAAGTTTTTCATCATTATTCAAGCTGCAAGGAGAAAGATAAAACTGGCATTCCAAAGGAAGCTTCACGTCTCTGACGCAGTGGGAAGCTGTATCTGAGACAATTACACACATTTCTTGAGGCTCCTTGACAGTACAAATTGGAAAGAAGATAATTAAGACAAGAAAAAGCAAGTTATAACTGTTTGGTTACTTTTTCAAAAGCTTACACAACTGGTATTAGTCTCATGGAGAAAAAAAGAATGGAAAACCGACTACCCCGTCACGCAGAGACGCAAAACCAACCTTTGCTCTAGCTGCTAATAGCCCTTTACAACCACCTCCAAGCTTCTAGTGTGCTTAAAACAGTGACTATGGAGGAGCCATTAAAATAACATATGAAGCACAAGATGAGAATCTGACCACGGAAATGCAGCTGTTAAGCCCAGAGTACAAAGAGTCTGAAAGGAGAAGATGCTAGGACAAGAAAATAGGAAGGCTACCCGAGCTGTCAGACGATGCACGTGGAGAACCAGCAGTTTATATTCTAGACTTCGCGGAGGGGGTTCGCTCTCCTCAACGCTTCTACTCCTAGTAAGAACTAACCAAATCGTTTTCTTAGAACGTGTAGAAGTTGAGAGATTTTTCTTTGCAGAGAGGCAAATTAAGAACAAGCTGCTAACAGACAGCAGAACAGAAGCTAGCTACATCAAGAAAAAAAGAACCACATTATGTGATTCCCAGCTTTCCTGTTTCCTAAGTCCACGAGCAGGGAAGAACTCAAGACACCAGAAGTGCCATCAGCAAAATGTCAACAAGTTCCACCACACAGTCCTTGGGTTTGGAGAAAAATAGTGTTGTGTGTAAGAATGCTCTGCATATGCACATGTATGTACACATGTCTGTGCAAGGTTTTAACACAAAGCAGTTCTTATAACTAGTTCTGTTGCAGGACCAGACATAAAACACACTTCCCTGCAGAGGACTTTGCAGCAAGTCATAAAAAAA